TATGGACTTATTATTCATAAATTATTTTTTCTTTGCTTACCCTTCATTTTTGGTTATAAATATTTACTCGAAAAAAACAAAATAACGAACCCGGATTTTTTAAATTTTACTTGACAAATAAATCTTGCACCAATAATTTACTTGAAAAATATAAAAAACAAACTTGGGATTAAAATTTTGATTACCATAACACAAATTTTGCCAAAAAGATAAAACACAACTTTTTAATTAAATGTCAGTTTTTAAATAATTACCAAGTTGTGTTTCAGATAAAAATGAAAAGTATAAATAAGTAAAACCAGCATTTAAAAAATCGTTTAAGACTTTACAATTGAAAGTTTTATTTTTTATTTTTTAACTGTTTATTTTATTTTAGACTGTTACGATGAATGGCCTTGTTCTTTTTAATGTTTGTCGTTTTATGTTATCGATGGCCAATATTTAATTGTTGAAATGAATAAAAACTTATTATTAATTAAAGTGTTGCATTATTTGATGCAATGATGTCCTTTATTACATCATTTGTTTATTGTTTTGTTGTCGTTTATCTCATGTTTATTTGAAAGATATAATTTTACTGACGTTTAGTTATCAAATGGATCACTGACCAAAAAACGAACCTGGAAAATCGGGTAAGATTTTCCTAAATTTTGAATGCTTTCCCGATTTTTTGTTCAATAATTGAAATTGTATTGATTTTTAAGGGTTTTAAACTGTGTACCGTTGTTGGTTCAACAAACAAGAAAATAAAAAATAAAACAAATAAAAAACAGTAAATAATAAGAAATTAGGGTGAAGAGTTTATATAAATTTTGGAAACAGTACAGAGTTTTGAAATACAGTTAACTTTTTAAAATTGGTGTTTTTTTATATAATTTTAATTAAAATAATTATATAATTACAAATTGATAGTTTATTATTTTTGATTTTATTATTTGTAAAAATCTAAACTGATTATATTAAAGACACTTTTAAACTCTTCATTTATAGTACATCATGGTAAATAAGATATTTATATTTTTTTGAATTTTTTTCAATTAAATTGCCACAAATTTTGTTTTTTTCTTGATACAACAAGAAATTCTCCAATTTTCTAATTCGTTGTTTGACTGTTTTGTCTCTAATTAATCCAGTTGTTTGTGTCATTTGTGCGTAGTAGTTTTACAAATACAAAACAACACCAACGGTATCATATTGTGGCTCGACAAACCCCACATATGTCACATCTTACCAGCTGTATGTCGTTGCGAATAATTCACCGTCTCGAAGCTCCGTTTTTGCAAGACATTTCAAAAACTTTTCTGTCACTACAAAACTCCGTTTTCGTATTCAAAACATCAATTTTATCGACATGAATTGTAATAATTTCAAATAACAGTTTTATGAGTATTTTCATTTTTTTCATTTTGTTTTTGAAATAATTTAATTGTTTATAACATATAACAATAAATATGAATTTTATTATAATTTAAAACAAGCCAGATTTTTTTCTCACTGACTTGTTTTTATAGTACTTTTATATAATATTCTTTAACATTTCTAAATAAAATCAATAATTATAATAATGATTGTCAATTCATAATAATTTAATTATGATCTATATTAAAACACATCAATAAACAAACTGACTGACAGTTTTTTAGTAAATGAATAACTATAAAAATGGTAAATATATGATTCAATAATAGCTTTGATGAAATTATAAAAAAATAAACAATAGAATGCACATAATAGTGGAGTTTTGTTTCAAACACTCTGTTTATGCATCAATGATGAACAGGATCGTTTTAATTATTTACTCGCGTATAATAACTCTTCTGTTCTATCAAAGTATTGCAAGTTTATAAAACAACCTAAATTTATCAACAACACAAGTATTTTGATTTAATGTTTTGTTATAGTCCATTCTATTACATTTTATATTAATTTGGTATATTTAACCACTATTTGATGTTTGAAAGTGATGTAAAGCAACAATAAATCAAATTTAACAAGTAATCGCAAGGTGACAGCTCTGTTCTGGTTGATTTCATTTTACTATGTAAGAAAAGTATGGTTAATAACAAATTTTATTTATTATAATTAGTTAAATTATTATTTGATCGTTATTAAACAATTTCTAATATTTTATAATATTATCAATTATAATTATTAGTTTTATTTTATATAGTATAAATATATATTTTTAAACTATTTATTTGAATACTATACATTTTAATATTTTATAGTTTAATTGTTAACTGTCGTTTTAAGTAGAAAAATAACCGCGGCAAAAAGTCTCCATCTGTAAAGAAAAGGTTTTGGAGATCGTAAAAACAAACATAACTATGAATTTTACTAAAACTACTTTATTTTTGTCATAAAAACAAATTAAATATACACTTTTTATTTTAAAATGCATTTTGGGACAAGTTCCAAATTTTACTTTGTTTCGTGATAGACCCTGAATAAAATTAAAATCATTTTGTGTTGGTTTGACGTTTTTCTTTTTGGTTTTTGATTAGAAAAAAAATCATTATGAATGAGGTAATAATGTTTTTGAATGAGATTTATATAAAATTAAATATAAAAACAAATAAACTTGATTAACATACATGGAAAACGAGTTAACAGCAATCTCAGCACTCTGCACAAACGCAGCAAAGGCGGTGTCAGACCTCAACAAAAATAAAAAAGAATACAACTTTGTTGACAACAAGTCACTTGACATTGATCAACGTATTGAAAATGCAGAAGGACACTTCGACAGACTTGATGAGGTATTTGATAAAAAGAAGAACATCACAACATCACTCAACACCATCGTCACTGATTTGGAAAACGCATCAAATAAAATCAAAAGCGAGATTAGTCTATATTCAACAAAGAGCGACAACGACAAGTTGTATGAAATATTCAATGTCAAAATAGCACTATATGAGGAGAAGTGCCAAATGGATATTAAACCACTTGAAAATGAAATTAACAAAATCAAACAAGCAAAAAACAATAAAATTGATCAAATTATGAAATCGGAGAAATTCATCAATTCAAAGAAACAACATGATGAAAGACAAGAAGAAAGGATGAAGTGCGAACACATCACACTTGAAGAAGAAGCCAGTCTTGAGAAGTTGACAGGAATGAAGATAGGAAGTGTTGTGTTTGACTCGGATAAAGACGATTGGTCAGAATACACGTCTGTGTTTGATAAAAAAGTTATTAACAAAAACAACTTGTGCTTCTTAATCGAAGACACAAATCACAACAAGTTTGGCGGCGTGTTCACTGGAAATATAAATGCTGTTGACAGGAATATCAGCAGTGGCAATTCTTACATTTTTTCACTTGTAAGAAATGGCACTTTGAATCCAAAAAAGTTTGGTAAGACTGGAAATTACACCGATTGTGAATTTTTAATTTATTCCCAAAACAATCAGTATCTCTTTGCATTTGGTGGTGGTGATGATATAGGTGCGTACAAGAATGGTCAAAATGGTAGTTATTGCAGCCCATCCACATACACTGCCAAACAAAACGAGTTGACTGACAATTACAATTTCACACCAAAGAGTGTTGTTGTCTTCCAACTTAACTGACTTTTTGTAATTTTTTATTTTATTTTATTTCAAAATTTGCAACACGTTGACTCCAAAGTGCCATTTTTGTAATTTGCCACGTCACCACAACTTGAATTAATGTACACAAGTTTTAACAAAATCTGCCCTTTTTGAAGGGCAGGACAGACGGAATAAAAACGGGTTTTACCCTTTAAACCTAACACTGGAACGAACACTCGATTAGGACACCTTTATGTTTTTTTTTCAGGCATCTCCTCTTTGTGTCTAGTCTACTCCGGAGACGGATTCACGACGCCGGGTACAACAAGTTTTGACAGTTGCGGCATATCTACTCTTTGTGTCCCGTTGTATCTTTCTGAAATATATTAATTGAAAAGTAGTTTGGTATTTTTATTTATTATAAGTTTTTTCAAACTACAAACTTAATGATTATATTAAAAGCAAATCACAATTAATATTTTCATCTAAAAACAAATAGCACAAATGTTGATATAATTAATTATAATTTGATAGTTTGGTAACACAATTTATTTTTTTAAAGCAACAAACTAAGAAAAGATCAATAGACTTTATCACATAATTAGAATATTACAATTGACAATATATAGTAAATTGACTATTTTAAATAAATAAAAACATCAGTGATGTTGTTAAGATGAATCGCTACTTTTGAATGTATTTTTGGGTTCTACAGATAAAGTTAATATGATTTAATCAATTTGTATCGATTTTGTATCGAAACCCTGGTTCCTTATTAAAAGAGAACATCACCAATCTTTTTTGTCATTGGAAATATCCATCACTCAATGAAAATTATTTGAAAAGGCATTTCTTGTGGAATTATTAGAGTCCACCCATAGACTCTAAGTTAGACTATTAATTAGAGTCTTTTTTTCATAGGCTCGAGGCATCTCGTTGAAATTAAACTATAAAAAATAATAATAATGTTATATTTTTAATAACTTGACTCTTGTATTTTAACTAGATTTTAATTTAAAAAAAAACTAAAACAATATAATAATTATTTATCCTTGTCTTTTTGTGTTTTACTTGAATCAACCTGTTCTTGGTCTTCAAAAGTAATTGCACTCACCCGATCAATTTCAAGTTGTTTGTTGTCAGATCTTCACCAAATTTTCTGACCTGTCTTCCAACTCAACAATTCTCAATTCGCCGTCTCTGACTGATTGTTGTGTCTTCTTCAAACGGCTTGTATCTTACTAATTTGGGTGTTAATTGTAGATTCCTTCTGTTCGAATTTTGCAAGCTTTCTCTCAGCCTCTTCAACCTTTCTAGTATACTGTTTAGCTTGTTTCTTGGCTTTAACAGCCGCGTTTTGTGCTTCTTTCTTTTCTGTTTCGATTCCTTCAAATTCTGTTTCATATTTCGCTTTCAATTTAGCAATAGAAGCTCCAGTGGCACCAGCGTCCGCCAATTTAGCTTCTGAATCGGTGACTTTAACTCTAAGTTTTTGAGTTTTTTTGTCGGGTTTTTGTTTCATTGCTCTGTCCTTCTCAAGTTCCTTCTGTAAATCAGCCTTTCGAACAGCATCTGCACTGTCAGCTTTCTGTCTTTCTTCATCGGGTTGAGTTTGAATTTCAGCAATTCTTGCATTCAACATGTTCTTCTCTTCTTCTTGAGCAACAGAAGCCGGTGCACTGATTTGGACTTTAAGTGACGAAACTTATGCATTGAGTGTTTGACTTGGTCTTCCATCTTCTTTCTTTTATCAGATTGGTCAGCAGCAGTCTTTTCAGCTTCAGTTTTGTCGTCCAATGCCATCTTCTTTTGTGCTTCAAGTGCCTTAATATGTGATTCATAATTCTCAATCTTCGAAGCGTCTTCGACAGACCACTTTTCATATCCTTCTTAACAGCGTCATATTAAGTGTTCTAATCTTTCAACGCAGCAACTGCCTTTTCCAAATCAGCAATTTGGGTGTCTCTCTTGATGACCTCAGTTTGGGCGACATTTGATACCCCAACTAGTCTCTCTTCAAGGTCTTAAACTTTTTTCCAAACCAACTATTTTCTCATTGTCATTAGCTGTTCTGTCTCTTAATTCAGTCAACTCAGTCTTATTTATTTCTAAGTCTCTTTGTAACTTTTTGATTGAACCATTCAAGTTGTTGGTCTCGTCTTCGTGTCCATTAACTAAGTTAATGAGTTGGTCATATTCGTCTTGAAGCTTCTTCTTTTCGGAAGAAAGTTGGTCTTTGTCATAAGCCAAGTTTTTCACCTTCTCTTTAATTTCGTCGTTTTCCGCTTTCAACTTCTTTGCTTCTATTTCTTTCGCAAATTTGTCCTTCTTGACTGTTTCAAGCTCTTCATTGGCTCCAGCAAATTCTTGTTCTTTTCTTGTGATAACACCAGAAAATTCGTCGACTTTAGCACTCAATTCCTCAATCTTCTTATTGCTCTCATTAACAGTTCCATTGAGTTTCTCTTTATCAGCAGCATCGGTGTCGGCATTCTTCTTGAGGTAGTCAAAGTTCTGTTGGAGTTGGTCAAATTCGGCTTTAGTTCTTCCCAAATCATTCTTAGTAATTCTCAACTTCTCATTTGCGGCTTCAACTTCTTCATTAAGAGCAGCTTTTTCTCTTTCAGCGTCTTTCAATTTGGCATCAACAACAGATTTGGCTTTAGTCCTTTTTTCATTGTCCGCCTTCAATTAGTCCAGTTGCTTATATTGATCATCTTTCTTTCTATTCATGTTCTCAGCATCAGCTTCAAGCTTGTCTTTGTTATCAGCAGTCTCATCAAGTTTGGCTTGGAGTTCCTTATTAGCAGCTTTGTTCTTCTCAAGTTCGGCAGTGATGTCTGCCAACTTCTGGAAGTTTTTCTTCAAGTCGTTATCCAACTTCTTCCTATCCTTTTCTGTCTTGTCTTTGTCACTTTGCAAGTTGGACCGAGCGTCTTCTAAATCTGCCAAATCGTTTTCTAGCACCAGCCAAGTCCTTTTCAGTCTTCTCCGTGTCGTCCTTCAACGCTTGGATTTGAGCTTCGTAGTCGGCCTTCTGTGCTTTCAACATATCAGAGTCATTAAGTCCGTCTTCAATTCTCTTTGTCAACTCAGCAATTTTTCTCTGAGCATCTTTTTTAGAAGAATCAAGTTTTCTGTTTTTATCTTCTAATTCGTCTTTCTCCGAGTTCAATGATGCAATTTTTTATCACTTGCATTCTTGGCCGTAGTCAAAGCAGCAGTCTTTGTCTTCTCTGCTTGTAATTGTTGGTTACACCCATCTCTTTCGTCTGAGGCCTTCTTGTTCTGAGTAACTTGTTGGTCGAGTTTCTTCTCTGTATCGTCAAGAGCCAATTGAGTCTTTTTCAAATCATTTTTTGGTATTGGCAAGATCATTCAAACAGAGTCAGTGTTTTCATTTAATGCGTTGACATCAGAAATAGTGTTTTGCAATTTCTTTACTTGTTTCTCCAAATCGGCAATGTCGTCTTCCTTCTCACGTGCAATTGTGTCTCGAGATATTTTGAATTGTCTTCTTCGGCTTCAAACTTGTTTTTCAAGTCAGAAATTTCGCTTTCCTTATCTTCAATGTCTTTGTTCAACTCAGTGATAACACTGTCCTTCTTAGCAATAGTCGCTTTGTGCTCAGTAATTTCGTTTTGAAGTCTTTAAATATCAGCTTCAAATTAGTTGTACTCAGTGGTTAACTTGCTCAAGTCTTCCTTTCCTCTCTTAATATTACCTTGGAGTTCCTCAATGTGTTCTTGGTCTTCTCGTGACTTCATATCGGCCTCTTCAAGAGAAACCTTCTTTGACTCAATATCTTCTTTAAACTTTTTAACTAAAGCTTCCAAGTCGACGTTCTTGATTTTCATTTCAGAAAGTGCCTTCTCAGCGGCTTCTCTCTTTGCAATTTCTTCAGCAAGCTTCTTCTTTAAAGCTTCAATTTCTTATTCCTTAGCTGCGGTTCTTCATTGACTCTTCTCCTCTCTTTGATTTCAGCACGAACACCAATTTTGAAGAAAAACTTGATCTTACCAAATTTGAATTTTTCGGTGTACACTCTTAACTTGTTTCTTGTACTTCTAACAAATTGGTTTCATGAGATCATTGAATACTACTATGGCGTCTGAAGTCACCCCATTTGCTGTCATCTCAAACACGGAGACTGGCAAAAAGTGTCCACTTGCAGATTATTCATTGACTCCATCAATTGCTATCGACTTAATGTTCTGTGTCTCATCAACAAAAAGCTGTAGCAGACTGTGGTATCGATGTTTTGGTTCATGTTGTTGTAGCTTATGTCTCAGTTATGGCAAATGGGTACACATATGGTCTTGCTAAAAAAGCAGTCAAATTAGTCTTTGACGACTTGGTCAAGTCATACAACGGGATTTTGTTGCGAGAGAGAAGATGCATAATGCAGCTACCATTGATGGTATAGCCTTTGTTTTCGCGTTTTTTAAGATTGTTCACTTAATAGTTCACAAAATAGGAGCCGCTTTCCATCTTCCAACAATGGTCGATGTGTTGCAATGTTGTTACCACATGTTATTCGATACAATGGTGTTATCTCAAAAAAGATGGCGTAGTGTCCAAAGTACAGCATTTATGTTGCAAACCAGTAATATTAACAACTTGCACAACTGGTTGGGTTGAAAGCTAAGACTATGGTCGAAAAAGTTGAAGTCCTTGCAAAGGCAAGAACTTCAACACATATCATTTTTTGAAAAATAAAGTCTATGAGAAAATTAAAACATAAAAAATAACACTTTTATAATAGGGTGCACAACCGTTGACAAAATAATTGCTGTTTGCCCGTTTTTTAACACAAAAAATACTTTGCTTTAATTGTTTTATTTTTACAACTAATCGTGATCTTCGAAATCTCAAAATCTGAGATTTTATTTAAAAGATCTGCTATAACAACCAAAAAATCAAAGCCAAAAATACGCAGGGCTCTCAAAATTTCAAACCCCCGTCCCCACGTGGCAAGATTTAAGAACTCGATTACATTGTGATTTCAATGTAGCACAAATACAAATTATTTTTAGTTATACTTCAATTTCTTTGTTAATCAAAAAACACACAAAAACTAAAATAACGGCAAAAATCAAAATTTTAGCACATATTTTACAAAAATATAAATATTTATTATCAAAGAATTTTTCTTTCACAAATT